GCCTGCTTTGATTTCCACTGGCCCGATCGTCCGCCCTTATTCTACCTTCACCGTCTGCCGGTGTCACGTGCACGGGTGCGCGGAATTTGCGTGTGGTTCGCGGCTGGGGGAATTGACAGACGTCGATCTCTGTCGGGGTTTATGTTTTGGCGCGGAGCGCGATGTGATTTTTCTCTGGTCGGGAAACTGTTCCGGTTTACCGTTTGAGAGGTGTTTCTCATTAGTGCTTTATTGTCGGGTTGGCAGCGGAAAGAGTTCGTATTGCCGACATATTTTATTTACTCTGTGTACTCGGCTAAACGAATACGTATGACGACGTGATGAGAAACTTTCGGAAGTTTATTTCTCGATTATGGTAGTTTTTCTGTATACTCTGCTCGGTTTTCTTCGTTTTTCTCTCGTCATGCCTTCAGGTGATGAATTCGTCGAGAGAGTCGACGTTTTGGGTAAAATACTTTGATAGCCATGTCATTGGGCAGTTTCTCTGTTTCTTGAATGTGTGATGAAAATTATAGATATATGCTCATGCCTTGAACTTCAACGTTCGCATCACATGGAGTTTTTATGTCATTATCTAGTAGGTACACTGCATGACGTGTATGATCTTTGCTTCACGTGAATTCAGTCGTAGTTTTGAAAATTATGCGAAATGACTGCAATACTATCAAATTCCATATTTGTTACTACTACCGAGGCTGTTTTCGTCATTTTATAAACCACTAGTTAATAAAGACATAACCTAATTCACTGTCGATGCGAGATTCGCAGGAATGGCACTCGAATCTAGTAGGTATTTATCAATAACGACTTGTCATTATGCTGTCATGGTCATGGCTACTAGATTTCAATTAGAATTGAAAAGAAGTGCTTTCATTGTGATAATATGTCCATATTTCAGTTGCACAGAACTATAAAATGATTGGAATATATTGCTATTGGTGAAAAATATTTAAAATACAACTTAGTATAGTATAGATAATATCATTACCACGGGACCTAATACCACTCGGCTGAAGCCTTGGTCCTTGGGTAATACTGATATTCTTTACTACCTTGGTGTATGAATAATTTTTCTTTTCGATGGTTTCAAGAATTTGTCTGAACTGAAGAATAATAAAAAAATTTCATATATGATGCGAACTTCAACGGTATGACACTGATCCTTCATTTCACTCATACATGTGACTTTTGTATTTCGTGTATGAATCTTCACTTTGTAAAGCGATTTCGACTCTTCTATATTATATATGTAGATATATTTCTATTATAGCTTCGCCAATCTCCATTTGTTTTATAGTCAACTTCTATGGGTCTTCATCAAATATATCTACCTAACTTCCACGAAAATAATTTAATAATGATACTGAAAATTTACAATGGAATCGAAATGTTGCGAATTTTCCTCGGGATTTGCTATTCTATTCACAACAAGTGAAGATTTCAGATCGAAATTAGACATTGTATTAGTAGTGGAAAAATTAATACATGCAGGGTGATTCACGTAGGCCACACAATAGAAGTTTCTCAACTCGCAAAATTCTCCTAATTCCTGATATATCATCTATTATTTTCTTCGTATAATTTTGAACCAACCAAAACGTTCAATTGAGTAAAGCTACTACTAGCTGTTCTAAACTCAGAAGTAGAAGGCCAATAGAACCGTGCGTCTATATGAAATAAGAAAGTTGATGCTGACTTTTGGCACATCCTGTATAGCTGAAGTAGTAAAATGATTTCAGGTACATTGGAAATGATCGATTTTAACTGCATACCAATTTTCAAGCTATGAAACTTCTAATGTGGAGTCTACATAAATCACCCTGTATAAACAACGATACAGCCTCGCTTCATTTCCCTCGATGATGAAGCATCTTGGGAACTAATCAACTCGGCTCAGCAAAATGTCTTCTATACCATGGTTTATGAATACTATTAGTACACACTAGTAGCAAATAATGATCAGAACCTAGATTCAGGGTGTTCCGAAATCAGCCTGCCAAACTTCACCAGTGGCTTCTACGACCAAAAATAGGAAGAAACTAAACTTTCCATGTCCATTGCAGTGAAAATGAAATCATTCCAAAATTTTATTTAGGAGTGTATAATACAGGGTTTTTTGTTTGCCATATTTTCCGGCAATTTGATCTTGGATTATGAAAACCCACACCTCTTTACAGAAAAAAAGGTGCTCTTGTTCCGTATCGATCATTTTCCAGTCGAATCCATTAAAAAAAAGGTTACATCTCACATATTATGCATAACATTGTAATGAACCGTATAGTAGATATGGAAAAAAATGCACAAAACTTTTCGATATGGAACAGGAGTACCTTTTTTCTGAGAAGAGGTGTGGATTTTCATAATCCTCCTGAATGAAATTTTGGAATGATTTTATTTCCACTGCATTGTACATAAAAAGTTCAATTCTTGTACCGTATTGCATCATTTTATCATATATATGGCGTTTGGAAAATATTCAAGAAATATCATCTTCAGGAATCTTATCGACTCAAGTTCATTGAAACTTTCGTTCCTATTTTTGGTTGTAGAAGCCGCTGGTGAAGTTTGGCAGGCTAATTTCGGGACACCCTGTAAGTTCCAGCCCGGAGTTTGAGAGTATTTCACTTGGCCAAACACCGACGATTTTAAATGCCCTTTATTTTTAGCCGCAGACACCGAATGGGGTGACAACATCTCCTAATAACTTATAGCGAAAATATGACTCTGCTGGCAGATGTTCATTCGGAACTGTCACTTGTCACGTCGTTCGCTCGACAGTTATCGTATGTCTTTCCGATCAACACGTATTTTCAACAAAACCGCATCCTTTGATTTAGTGCCTAGCTGTTTCGAATAAAGAGTTAATGATGTGTCTCAAGAATTTCGATTACCTCAATGACAGGTGTTGAAAATATTGTCTACACGAATGTTTCAACGAGATATATTTACAGAGTAAACTGTCGCGAAGTGCTCTACTGGGCTGATCGCATAGAAGGGATTTTTCCACCTCTCTTTATTTTCATTTTCATGTTATGAAACAATGAGTTCTTGGCAATCCTAACAAGCAGATCTGTTTAAAAGCTCCACAAACTGAAAACAATTTCGAAAAGTTACGATTCGAATCAGGTTATAGTAGAAACAGCCTGAAGGTGGAATTCATAAACGTCTGCATTATATGTCAGATACAGAAGTCCTATTTTCATATTAACAGTCACGAAGAGAAATCCCTCAGCTGTGTAGGAACACTTCAACTGCCTACGTGTACTGAAAACCAATTTTGGGTAATCCGTAATCATAACGTATTACACATTTCAGTAAGGCAATTTCTACGAGGTGTTCCATTTATGCTGAATACCTGGTGGATGCCCCAGAGAATCGAAATATCATCTCAGTGCCGTGAAAACTACGAAAAATGTATCATCCTGTATTTGAAATACATTTCTTTCTTGAAAAGAAATATTCTCAGATATAATTATGAACATAAAAAAATGGATATATACATAAAGAAATACATTGAGAATAATTCGCATTCTCTTTGTGATGAAAATATCAATTCTTTCTCGGTTTATTCAACAGAAAACAACTACTTTCCTGACTATATGCCACGATGAAATCTGATCCTGATGAGTTTGGAACTTCCAAAAAAAAAAGAATCATTCGTATCAGTGATATGGGAATCGTATCTCTCACAAACAGGTTATATAAGCTCATTTCGGATATCAAATCCCCATCAGTAACTTAAAGTCCAGTTATTTATTCAGCCATTCTTCATGATATACACAATTTTCATATCCCTATAATATAACTAAAACTATAACGAACTGACATCTGAGGATTATGATTTGTTGACATTCTCCTGTCATCTGGGCATTTGTTTTTGGATGTATGATGAATTGATATTCATCATACAGGACGTGGAAAGAAATTCTGAATTGAAACCTAATCACGAATCTGCGATTGAGGTCTATAAAAAAAATACATTTCTTTCATGAAAAAATATAAAATATTTGTTGCAACTGTATCGCGAAAAATCGGTAAAGCGTGAAGAAGGCCATAAAGAAAATTGAATAATCAACTTCAAAAAGTCGTAATTCATACAAAATACCACGACATAATCCCCCAACGTATCGCTGTACATGTTCATCAAGCGGGTATGGTGTCACTATTTTTCAATGAAAAAATATTGCTATTTTTCGCTGGTTCTCCGACCTCAAATATTCATCAACGAATCGTGCTGTCAGAGAAGATAAAAAAATGCTTCCCATACGAAATAAATCTATTTTGTTCAGACCTAATTACTTAGAGTACTTAGACTACACTTTAGAGGTTAAGCAAGCCAATTATTATCCTAATGTTAGTATAATTCAACCACGACGAAACATTTGTGAATGTTTTCCATTCTAATTCTGGTTACACATCATTATTACGAACTATGTGCATTCCACTTGCATACATCAAGGCTAAATGGATTCTATTGTTAGAGTTGAAGATTCTGGCAAATGTGCACACAATTTTTTTACTTTTATTATTTGAAGATTTGTGGAACCATTATACATATTTATGTTGAAATGGGCGACGTCAGCAATCTGTAATGAGTTCAAGATAGTGAAATAAATGAAGGCATATTCGTCTCCTGATCTACAAGAAACACAACAGACAAGCATCAAAATATCATTGGGAAAAGTGACTTTTCCTACTCTTTTCTATAGAGAAGTGTTCGTTACAGATATTTCCAGCCCAGAGAAATCAGCCAGCCAGCCAGTCTCTTAATTCCAAAAATTCATCGTGTCAGAGAATTATCGTGATAGATTTCGCTTTGGTTACCACTGTATATTCGGTTTGGATTTATCCCCGCAGCTCGATCCGAGTTAGCACTCTCAATCTGCAATTAAGACACACACACACTTCGAGAAAAGGCAGATACCCAATTTCTCGTAATCTCCCTGGTTTCTCTCTGGTTTCCTGCGAGCTCCGTGTAAATTCGGCATAAATCAATGAACATGCTGCGACAGCAGAAACCGAAATCTGAAATCATGAAAAATTACAACGGCTACGCTGATGAAGGTGAGAGTAAATCAGCATGATAACGTCGATATGGTCTTAGCGCGAGCTCATATCGAGAAAATGCAGCTTTTGTTCCGACACACATAACACGACCAGTGGGAATTTCGACAAAAAGCCAGTAAAGCGGGCATAATAAATCCCGCTGAGACAGGGTACATGTATCCGGGCCCAGCTCTGAAAGCGCATATATTAGCCAAGTGGAGCCCAGATCACTGTGCGAGGGTGTGCTGAGGATGGCTAACGGCGAGAAACCCATCCTATGCGGATGCCTCCCTAAACTGAAACTGGAGCGCTACACCACGCTCCACTCGTCACTATTCCATTCGAACAATCATATCACAAATCAGCCCTTCCCGACTGTCGATTGCCCGTTCTCTTTCCGATCGCGACTGCTCACAGCTCACAGCCGAAACGTCGGAAATGGAACACCGTTATCGACGACCCATTTACTTCGCCACCAGACAAAACATTTTTCTCGGTACCGATAAACGTCATCACCGCGTTCAACCACATAATCCCACATAGCTGATGATTTTCTATTGGGTTTTCATAAACAATGAAGGTTATCGTACCTTCCATTGACATTCGATAGTGAATGCTGAAAACACCAACTCCGTGTCTATAAGAGACTGATACACAGTTAGAGAGTGGCCTTATCAAACTTACTTAACTTTGAGCAGATCACAAATCAGGACAATCACTGGCTTACCAATTCAAACAACACTTGTAGACCCTTTGAGTGTGATGGGTCAGACAAACCTCAGCTAGAGAAGCTGTAATTGAAATTTAAGGGTGAAGGTAACAAACCTTTTCGAAGGTTGCAATGTCGAGACAATTGAAATCACCCTGGCAACACTCGACTCCTAACCAACTAACCCAGCTGACTCGACCAAATTCGATAAGGCTGGCACCAACACCAAGTCCGTGTGTATAAAGAGGCTCATGCATAGACAGCCAGACTGTGGTATAATCATTAATACCCTCGCCGAATGTATTGTTAACTAACTGCACCTGAGTAGACCAGAAATCAGGGAAATCTTTGGTTTAACAGCCAGTCACTGTTACCTAAGAAAACATTGGTAGACTCTTCGAGAGTGAAGGGTCAAGCGAACCTCAGCTGAAGGAGCTATAAATGAACATTATGGGTGAAGGTAACAAACCTCTCCGAAGATACAATGAGCTTTCAACCAACTAACCAAGATGTCTCGACCAAATCACTCAAGGCCAGACAACCTGAGGATTCCTCTGAATTCAATGAATAAACTTTCCAAACAAGATCTAGTGAAGATGTTACTGAACCTTCATCGATAAAGGCAACAAACCTGATCAAAGACAAACAGATGAAGAAATATAGATACACTAATGTTGAGGCTGCAGTGTCGAGACAACCGAAGTCACCTTAGATATGATCTAAGGAAGCCACCCTGCCTCCATCTTCTTCTCAATCAACCAACTAAGCTCACCCAACCAAATAAGAACCAAATAGTTTATCTGTTGCCTTCTAACGCGATGTCACATACGTTTATAAATATAACCGAACTGGATCTTATTTGATATTTTTTCAGTTGAAACAGCAGAAAACTAAGCAAATGAATCATTCAGGCTAACATGGTGTGAATCATTTAGCTCAGAATAGGATACGTAACGATCCACAGTACATAAACAACCTAGTTACTTGAGGAAGTGCACAGTATAGGTACTAAGACTAAGTTGTTGTCCTAGAGTATTTTTTTTTAAACATTAGCTATATCGGAGACTGGAACCTTTGGCACGATAATACACTACACTGTTTTACCACTAACCAAACCGATTTTTTTTTCAACGCCTCGACACGTGTTTCGCTAACTTGACGGTTAGTATTTTTCACAGTTGGGTGAACATATACCTAGTATATAAGCAGCACACTAGAATAGGATATTTAGTTTTAATCTTCTCCTGAAGATGCTAACATAGTTAGCGAAACACGTGTCGAGGCGTTAAAAAAAATCGGTTTGGTTAGTGGTAAAACAGTGTAGTGTAAAACATTAGCATTAGGCTAGCTAAGCAAAAATGTTTTTTATAACAAAATGCAACTTCCTTTCTAAAATGAAATGCTTTTTCCATCGTGCATACTGCTCTCAGATTCAATTCATTAACCTGGTGGTGGTTTTACTAACTAACATCGATCCCTTTCCTCTCTCTTTCCATGGTGTCGATGACGACTTTGATCCTCTGACGGGGCCAGCTTGCTTGCTGTGGTTGCATTTATATTGAAAATACCATTCGAACATCCTTGAAAATTGAATAAACCTGATCTGTAAATGCAGGTTGACGGATTATTTGTTGCATTGCATACATATGGCACAGCATCCACGTTTCGGGTATATTGTATTCATGCTTGTCTCTGATGACATGATGCATGTCAACACAAATTGTAACAAAAAAAGTAGTATAAGGTCTTCCTTCTATCTACTTACTCATTTCATTATGATAATCTGTCAAGTGAGTCACATTGGTGGTTGGTTACCTTACTTATATTCATTTTAGTTCATTCTTTTGGTTGCAGAAAGAATAGCATGTTTCATACGGATCAGAGGTGACTTTGTATGATTCGCCTGTCAAATAAAGTGTCACTTTTGATCCTAATGAAACAATCTACTATTTTTGCATAACTATATGCGACTATTGTCTTCCCTTCCAAAATGAAATACATTTTTATCGTGATACTGCTCTCAAGAATCTTCGAATTCAATTCACTAACCTGGTGGTGGTTCTTCTAACTAACATCGATCTCTTCTCTCTCTCTTTCCATGGTGTCGGTGTCGCCTTCGATCCTCTGACGGACCAGCTTTATTATCAGGCACCCTGCGGACGTACCAGAGAGCAGGATGCGACGACGAGGTGGTGACCTTGAAGTGCCCTCCGGGAACGAGCATCTCCATAGAGATCGCCCAGTACGGCAAGGCGGCGCCCACCAAGACGCTGTGTGGCACCAGGTCGACGCCTACGGCTGCATCCAGGACGTCCTACAGCTACAACGTGTCCTGCCTGTGGCCCAACGCGATCCAGGTCAGTATATTTCGTTCCAGACGGGACGAGGTGAATGTTACACCAGGCAGTGTTGCCAACAGCCAATGGGGGCAGAGATTCACGGCTTGACTTGATATTCAATCAAGTCAAGTTCAAGTCAAGCGAAAGTTTTTTAATGTCAAGTCAAGTCAAGTAATTATTTATCAAGTACTTGAAAAATCAAGTAGTTCTATCGAGCTACTTGATTTTCAGCAGTTTCAATGTGTATCTATACAGCTTGACTCACGGTCGATGTTATAGGTTAGACGTTTATGGAGAACGCGACGCGGGATTTTTCTGAAAATTCCGCATACACAAAAAATTCCCGAAGTTGAAAAATCTCGATTTTTCGCACTCTATATCTCCATAATCATTTCCGCTATACCCCGAGTGTGATATATCGATGAAATCAACTCTTCAAGGAGAATCTGAAAATGCAATAAAATACAGGGTGTTCAATTCAAAATAACAAAGTGGTTCCTACTTTTCTATAGAAGCGGCAACGTCGTGATTTTGAAAATATATTAGATCGATAGTACCGGTGATGAAATGTGAGATGCGAAATTTTCAGAAAAATCCTGCGTTGCGTTCCTATCATAAACGTGAACGTCTAACCTACCATCGACCGTGAGTCACCCTGTATATAACTGATGAAATGAAAATGGCATCGTAATTCGTAAGACTGACTGCGCGATCGATTCAGTCAGCTCGGATCTCGGGAAACCCCCGTATTTTGTCTAAGCGTGAGCGAGCTTGCAGAAATATACGCCGTGCGAGTCGTGCGTATCAAGATCAAGTATTATCAAGTAGTTTGATTTCAAGTCAAGTAATAATTATCTCAAATTCAAGTCAAGTCAAGTACGTAATTTGCCACGAGATTGATTTTCAAGTCAAGTCAAGTAGTTTGTTAAAATATCAAGCTACTTGACTTGATGAATCTCTGAATGGGGGAGACCACTGATTTTTCAAAACGACATTATCGTGAACTCTTTACTGAAAAACTACCAGTTAATAAATTTCGAATTTTGTCATTCATGCTAAGAAGATGAAAAACATAAATTAGAATATGTCCATTTCAAAACACACAATTCCTGTTGCCATTTGAGATTTTGTCAATTCATTGGTGTGATTGGTGTGACTTTTGCGACGTCTTAGTCCCAACACGCCTGTTGTCCTTGAACTGACCAATCACACTGCAACACTGCTGAATGACGAGGTATCAGAGAGAGATAGCTACAGCTCGGGACTAATACGTCACGGATCCACCATCATATTTGGCTGTTTGAAATATCGAATGAAATATGCTGATTTCAAAACCATTTAGATAACTTCAACTCATAATATTGATTGTACATCAAACGTGAATCATGATTCATCGATTGAAAGAGGTTTTCTCTCAGTGGTCTTCCCCATTATAAAAACGGCGAGACGAATGTTGGAAAATGGCTGAATTATATTTAGCCATTTTTTGGCTAATCTAGCCACATCTGCAATTTTTACAGGAAAAACAATGAATCTGACCATGAACGTCGAATCTGACATTTAAAGTTTGAGTCTAGAGCTTAGATATAATAGTAGCGTTTTATTTATCCGCTTCCGCCACCGGAGTCACTTTGATGTGTCGTTTTATTTGCAACTTTTCCGATTCCGGTTGCTACTTTTCATTCCGTCTCACTACTAGGAATGACGTGGAATGACTGTTGACAGTTGTCGAAAAATTATATAAGATTGACGAAAAGCAAAACTTTTTGAGAGTAGAAGACATTTAGCAGACATTTTTATCGTGAAGTTCTCAAGTTTATGATTCTTTCAAGTAAGACAGGTTCCATATGTTCTTTCCCAGAGAATTATTTCTCTCGGTCTCAGAGAAGTTTCTCCAATCACCTCAATCAATGCCCTAAATATTCGTTGATCGATTTTCTAGATTCTCAACTCTTTTATCATGATTTTGAAATTATTTGGAGCCCAAATATATGAAAATATACTCTTATGTGAATTCTCTCATGCAAGGTCCTGAAGTTTCTCGTTTTATTTGTGAACGTCATTCTGTTCCCACCACCGATACCGGAATGGAACAAATAAAACGCAACTATTGAGCTGAGCTCTAGTAGTATCGACATTGACGTATGACGTGATGTGTTGACGTCGCAAAGCAAAAAAATACAGAATTAGACTCAGATTTGATCCTGAACATAATGAACTATCTATGGGAATATGATTGTCAGAAATATTAATTCTGTATAGTATTGATATTATATATGATAATATACCTTGTCAGATTGCGAGCATAATATAGTCAAGAAGATTGTGTAAAAATGGGTACTGGATTGGAGTAATGAATAAAATCAATAGAATATGATTTTCATACTTTTACTAACATATCAATCAGCTTCGATCTCCCGAAATATAGAAAAGTAATTGAGTACTACCATGTTTTTACTACTAAGTTATACTAACAAAGAAGTATTTGTAACAATCATTGAATGAAAAGACGAAAGGAAGCACGAGAAATAAAGTGAGACGGAACTGGGGTTTCTACTCTATCGCAGTTTTTCTGTCAATGTCAATTTAAGTGTTGGAAACTGATTTCATCATGTTTTTGAATATTTATGGATCATTTCAGCAGCTTATTTCTTTTGAATAGCGTAAATGTAGTACAAGTACAATGTTTATATGTGAAAATTATCGATATTCACTAATGAACAACAACAAATTAATTATAAGTTTGAAGTTTCATTTGAACAATATAATACAAATTATTTTTTATGCCATAATTATTCATTGAGGTTGAATAGTTCCCAAAAAAAATGATTTTCTACACGACCCTCCTTCATTTCGTCTTTTCGTTCAATTAAGACGAATATCAAGTGACTTGATTTGCACAAGGGCGGTTCTATGGAAGGGGTGGGGGTAAAGAAGGTAATTACCCTTTCCACAGAGGATAACTACATACATTTTTTTAAATTGTTTTTTTTTCATAGAATAAAATGGTGAAAATATTATAAACAAGGAAGAGAGAAAATTTTGAAAGTATCAAAGCTGTCATAGCTCACAATTTTTCGGAAAATTGCAACGACTTTCATTGGGCGTCTACACTTGTGTCATTTTGGACAGATGTCGTAATATTTCGTTGCATTACAGGGCCTATTTTATTGGGGTAATTCGCATCTATTTATAGATATAGCAATTGCTATAGTGCAATATTAGTGATGAATTTGTGAATTTTCGGTGCAATATATTTATCATTAGATATGTTTTGGTTTCTTCTACCCAACTTATAACTCAATAAGAAGCAGAACACCATTTTTTGGACAAAAAGACATTGCAAGCTGGACATTCTGATTCAGTGTAAAATAGCGTGCATTCATATTGTTATTGCCTGAAAAACAAATTGCAGCAATCAATTGCATGCAATGAAAAATCAGAAACTGTGAAGAAGCTCAAAAGTCAATAAAAACGAAACAGCAAAATACATATAACATGCCCAAGAGGTGCCTGGTCTGGAAAACATCACAAAAATGTCTATTACCAAGTATTCCTTCCTAGAAATTCACCCTATAGGACCGCCCTTGGATTTGCACTTATCGTATATAGAACAGAATGAATCACTAAACTCCTAATACATTCCGGCGTTATGGTCTGAGGCCAAACTCATTAACTATAGGGATATAGCTTCTTTTTTGCCAATCTCAGAAAATATGTCTACGAGTTATGAATAATATACATGTGACATTTCCGCTTTTTTTGTCGATATGGTGGGAAAGCATAAGGACTCGAGACGAAATAGTCATTTTCAAAACGAGCGCATAAGGTGTAAGATTTCACACATTTTTCCTCTAACATTTTCATCGACTTCTCATATACTAAATGTCAAAAAGGTGTGGATTTTTGAGTGGAAAATATTCATAGATATTGATTATGGTTATCAGTTTATATCCTCAACTCAACTTGAATAAACCTCTCAACACGTTTGGTCCTAAAGAACTGAATCATTCCGTATATTTTTCAAATAAACGCTGCTAGGTGATTTGCGGTAGGGTAACGCAAAAACTGAAAATTGCTGCAAATTAGGTTAGGAAAGTTCGAGTCACGTCACTTCTGTCTCAAGTCGCATAGCATTCCATTCCGACAGTTCCACAGAGGCGCTCAACTTCTTCCAGGAATGCTCTGAATACACTGCCGAATTGGTAAAGACACTATAGACTAACAGTTTTACTCAATGCCAAACCCACAACAAATGTCAACTCCACATAGAAAATTACTAATGATAGAGCTAGTAACCTCCCCCCACTTGGAGAATGCTGGCCTATAAATCAATTAAAATAATTTGAGATTCTCAACCACCTCTTCCATTCCCACTTAGTCGGAGATATCTTCAATATTCCAGGAATGCTCCCAATATACTGCCGAATTGGTATAGACACTATAGACTAACAGTTTTACTCAATGCCAAACCCACAACGAATGTCAACTCCACATAGGAAATTACTAATGATAAAGCTAGTAACCTCCCCCTACTTGGAGAATGTTGGCCTATAAATCAATTAGAATAATTTGAGATTCTCAACCACCTCTTTCATTCCCACTTAGTCGGAGATATCTTCAATATTCCAGGAATGCTCCCAATATACTGCCGAATTGGTATAGACACTATAGACTAACAGTTTTACTCAATGTCAAACCCACAACGAATGTCAACTCCACATAGGAAATTACTAATGATAAAGCTAGTAACCTCCCCCTACTTGGAGAATGTTGGCCTATAAATCAATTAGAATAATTTGAGATTCTCAACCACCTCTTTCATTCCCACTTAGTCGGAGATATCTTCAATATTCCAGGAATGCTCCCAATATACTGCCGAATTGGTATAGACACTATAGACTAACAGTTTTACTCAATGCCAAACCCACAACGAATGTCAACTCCACATAGGAAATTACTAATGATAAAGCTAGTAACCTCCCCCTACTTGGAGAATGTTGGCCTATAAATCAATT